TAGATATATCTATTATATGTATAAAAATATATATAGATATATACACACTTTAGACATTCTGCTTTGCAGAAACAAGTCGACTCTTGTCGACACAAATGTGTTGTGCTCTGATTGGCATCACAAGAATAGGTCTCCTCTACAAATACCATCAGAAAAGTGGCACAGATTATTTTAACAGATGAAGCCTAGGTTTCAAATTCCATGTAATATGACCAGTAGCTTCAGTAAATCTCCACAAATTAACTTTAAAATATCTTTGTGTCTTTCTTGATGGTTGTCCTAACAATATTTTTCTTTTCTTCCAGCTACGAGTTTTCAAGTTGGCAAAATCTTGGCCAACACTAAATATGCTGATAAAAATTATTGGTAACTCTGTGGGAGCTCTGGGCAATTTGACCCTGGTGCTGGCCATCATAGTGTTCATTTTTGCTGTGGTTGGGATGCAGCTGTTTGGGAAAAACTACAAGGAATGTGTCTGCAAAATTGCAAGTGACTGTGTACTTCCACGCTGGCACATGCAGGATTTTTTTCACTCTTTTTTGATTGTATTTCGAGTGTTGTGTGGAGAATGGATAGAAACAATGTGGGACTGCATGCAGGTTGCTGGCCAAGCCATGTGCCTTACTGTCTTCATGATGGTCATGGTGATTGGAAACCTAGTGGTATGTAATCAAAGCATTAGCAAAAAATTATTTGGCAATAGAGTGGGCTCAATCCTGAAGTGACCTAAGTGCTCTGGCTCTGCTTCAACAAAGCACTTAAGCAGGTGGTTTCAAGCAATGCTTAAAGTTAAGCTTAAGAGCTTTTCTGGAATGAGAACAAAGTATTTTGCAATATCAAAATCCTAAGAATGTTAGAGTGAGCACTTAGTCACATTCTTAATTTGTTTTTTGGCTCTCTGTAAATATTTTGTGCTTCAAATAATTTTAGTTTATGGGCTCTTTATAAACCATTTACTGTGGATTTTTTTATTATTTATCCTATATAATTAGTTACCTAAATAATCTACTCTTGTGTGATGAGAGAAATTAAACTTTTTAATGATACTGAATAGCAAATCCGTCATGTCCATTTTTAGATTATAGAATTTTGAATCAAAATATTTATATACTGTGGGGATTTAAAGACACATTTACAAACAGTTGTAGGAGTATTTTTGAATAGTGAAAAGGGCCTAAGCGAAATTTTAAAAGCTCAGTCTTTTATGGGGAAGAGAGAAAGTTTTAAGGGTGCTTTTCTCTGGTTATGGTGAATTATGGGGATTTCAGTCTTTGATGTCACTAATATAACAATTTTTAATAAAATAAGTGTTCTTTGTTAGGATAAAGTTCAGAATGTCCTTTTTTTCTACCTTTCTGCAGGTCCTGAACCTATTTTTGGCCTTGCTCTTGAGCTCATTTAGTGCAGACAACCTTGCCGTGACAGATGATGACAATGAAATGAATAATCTCCAAATCGCTGTAGCAAGAATGCAGAAGGGCATAGATTATGTGAAAAGAAAAGCACGCGAATTCATACAAAAAGCTTTTGTTAAAAAACAAAAAGCTTTAGATGAAATCAAACCACTTGAAGATCTGAACAACAAAAATAGCTGTATTTCTAACCATACAACCGTGGAACTAAGCAAGGACCATGACTATATTAAAGATGCGAATGGAACAACTAGTGGCATAGGTACAGGTAGCAGTGTGGAAAAATACATAATTGATGAAAGTGATTACATGTCATTCATAAACAACCCAAGCCTCACTGTGACAGTGCCGATTGCTGTGGGTGAATCTGACTTTGAAAATCTAAACACAGAGGAATTTAGTAGTGAATCAGACCTGGAAGAAAGCAAAGAGGTATATATCTATTTTGTGCATTTCTCTCTGATCTTTTGAGTATTTTTCTTTTTTTTTTTTTTTTAGCATAAACCAGTGTATTAAGTTCTTAATCATTTGTTATTTTGACACTTTTTTGTACATGGGCATAAATGAGTGTATAAAGGAGGGTTTAATTCTTGATGAACAAAAGTGTGAGAAAGGGTTAGAAATTACAGTCTCTAAGAGGAGATAACAGGCCAGGCAACGGAAGACCAAACCAACCCATAAGAACTGTTTATGGTCCATATGGTAGTTGCAACAACTAATAGAGCTGAGCAGTGCCTTAGCTACAGCTTTATTCCAGCCAAAACTTTTGCATGTCTCCTGTAACAAAGGTCCAGTGAAGAGCACCATACATCTTCTCTCTGCCACTCAAAGAATCCCCTTCTATGGGATTTTTCTGTGAGCAGGTATAAACCAGAAAACACAGAGATAGTTCATGTATATCCTTTAGACACTGGAATTCTTTTAGATTTTAAAATTGTCAGCTCTTCTAGACCTAGATTCCCATAAAAAGACGTTTTAACCATAGATTCTTCATATACTTCAAATTCACTTATTGTTAAAATTGAAGAATAGTATCAGCAGATGAACGGATCTCATGCTGCTAAGGAAATATGAAAGCAGGCTACAGGTATAAAGCCTTGTTGAGAACAGTATTTTTAAAAAACATATTAAGGCTATAGCTGTTCCTTTACATGACTTTTTGTCTGTGGCTATTTTAACAAAATAACTTAAATTGGTTTGATAACATAATTTGCAAAACAACTACACCCTCAGTGACTTCGTTTGTTGACATTTTAGTCAAATCAGAAAATTATCTTTCCAGACACTTAACAAAAATATTTTTCTGACTTGAGAAACTTTAGCCTTAAACTAGCTAGTTTCCATTCTGGTAGCAATCTGGTTTCTTTGTGGGACAGCTCATCTTCCCCTGCCACTGTTTTATTGCTAACAGTACTTCAGGCACCTAATTTTAGGCTAGCTGAATTCTGTACTGCCATCCCTTCTGTGTGCATAAGCCCTCTTGTGTTGTCAACAAAAATCCAATGTTAAGCTAAGTGCAGTCTTTGGATCCTCCCCCAAGAGGAGGAGATCCTCCCCTCTCCCTGTACAAACCAGGCTCTCCCCTTGGCAAACTATTTCAGAGCCAGTGTTGTTCCCATTTCCCAACTAATATCTGAGACATTACTATTTCTTTTCCTGTTAAATATTAGCCAAAATATCTTATAATTTTGCTTTGAGTCAAGCTTCTGAACCACTGCCACAAGAGAGGTTTTAATAATGTGCTTGAGCACATTATGAACTTTCCCCAGCAGGAAGAATTTTGAAATAAAGCAACATTTAGACAAAGATCCATTGGAGAAAAACAGTGACTGGTCATCTACTCTCCCCACAGCTTCCTCAATGCTGGCCAGTCCAGTCCAGTCTTCCAACCCATCATAGAGCAGGCAGTCAAATGCAGTAACACAAGCTGGTTTATGACTGACCAATGGGGAATAGATTCAGCTTAGGAAAGCTTTCTGCAAATGTGCTGCTACTTGTAGGTCCAGGGTTACCTTTTATCCTGTTGAGAAGGTATTATGACATTTCTAACTTCCTGCTTATGAAAGAGCAGCTGTTATGTAGTTTTCTATGGAACATCCATCCAGCACTGCTGTTTTGGATTTGAGTCCAACTTCTTATTTTATACCGACTGTTAGTATAATGGGACTGTAGAAAAGAAATTATAAACACGAGAACAGCAGAGCCTTTGAATTAGATGAGTTTTTGATGAGAACTCACATAGAAAAGACTGTATGGATTCTCCACTTGCAGGACAGAGGACACTAACAGGCAAGTTCAAGCTGACTTGAGACCATATTGAGTTTTTCAGCACCATTCCTGGAGTTTTGCAGTGCTGGCCAGGGTCCTTTTTTGCTGATTGGGTCAGCTCTAAAAGTGGAGGTTTCTGCAAGGGTTTTGCTTGCTTGTTTGTTTTGGATTGTTTTTTAGCTGAGTACTTTTTTCTCCCTTAGAAAAGTAACAAATTTATCATCTTAAAATTATAATTTACACTGTTAATTTCAGAGAGATTAATTTTAGTGTGCAAAAAGTATCTGACAATATTACAGAAAATTTGCTTCTTAGAAGAAAACAGAGAAATAAAATGAAAAGGTTTTTTTCCCAAAATTAAAAAGCTTTAGAAAAGTTTTGAAAAGTATTTTTAAAATATAAATTTTCAAAATCTAAATTCAAAAACATTTTGAAAAGTAGTAAGTCATAAAGAAAGGGTTGATTTGTGAAAATTAGATTACTACAAGTATACAACATTTTGTAAAAATATCAGAGAGGCAACACTGAGGTGAAAATGTAATTTGAAAAAACCTCTATATATTGATCCTTGTGACAAATGGCAGTGCCTGAAATTGGATACATCAGCTCATTTTCCTGATAATGTTGAAACGTTGTTCTTCCAGTCTCTATAGTCACCACAAGGTAAAATTAACTAAGAATTGGCTACTTAAAATATTACAAATTTTATGAAGCACCATGCAACTCAACATCAATGAATCCTGGAATTGTTGCTGAAAAATGGACTGCCTGCCGCATGAATAAGAGTTTTGTTGTTAGGGTTTGGAGATTTTTTGTCCTCAAT